ACCGGGGTACCGGCCCCTCCTCTAAGAAAGGAGAAGCGAAGGGTTGCCGGCCACGCTGGCCATGTGCCGGTGGCCCTTGCTCTCCAGAAGTAATGGGGCGCCGAGAGGGTAAATAATATTCCGCTGTTAAGTTCAATTATATGTCCAGAGTTTATTTTACACTGTTGGCAAACCTAGCTGTTCCCTAATTCTAGCTGTTCCCTATCGCACTCCGAGTTCTCCCCCGCAGGGGTTGGGCCTTGGCCAGCTCACCAGTAGTTTACTCCAACTTCATTTTGGGCACGTGGCCGGCGGCGTGGTTTTATTCCAATGGTATTCCTTTTAGCTCCGTGGCACGTCTGGTCTGATGCTGGTATTCCGAGAGAAGAGACCGGGCTCGGCTTGCCGAGGCCCTTTTATAGGCCGTCGGCGATCGGTGGCGTCGTTTTACTCCCGACTTCGGGAAGCTTCGGGTGAGCTTCGGCTGGTGTCATGGCCGCCGATCTGCTGCTCGGGCCCTGTCGTGTGTGCCGACGCCATGCTTCGGCTGATCGGGCCTTGCCTTCGGGTGTTTGCCGAAGACGGTTCGGCTGGCCGTCCTTCGGCTCGATCGGCTGCCGGCTTCGGTTGCTCGTGTGTATGTTCGGCCGCTCTCAGCCGCTCGTTATTTTCTTCGGCTGTTCGTGGTTCTTCGGCCGCTCGTGTGTGTGTTCGGCCGCTCGTCGTCTCTTCGTTGTTTTTCTCTTAAATCTCGAGCGCGTTTCTCTTAAACCTAGTCCCTACTACTAAATCCCTAACTAGTGTGCCCTTCGTGGGTCTTAGTATTTTTCGCTTATGTCCTAATGCCTAATACTAACTATATGTTACTTTACGTGCTAGGGATAAATGAGCTTACAGACTACAGAATTGAAAATGAACTTAGATACTATGAAATGGAAATTGATCTTAAACACTACAAAAACTGCCCCTGGTTGTGAGGTTTCCTCACAACATGGACTTGAACTTGCGTCCTCATATTTTCATCTTTTGATATCTTTTTCCCACTGAAATCTCGCCCGATGATCTGGCAAATGTGCCAATGCAATGGTTTCAACTCACTCTGATTCCTCCTTTAATCCGGCGAAGAAAGCACTTTCCCGCGTAGATCCATTATACTGGCATGACACTGCCGCATTAATTAGAGACTTCATTAAAGATTTGACAGCGCTATAGCGTTTTACACAAGTGCGAGGAAGACGACTATATGGCGCTCTAATGCATTAGAATAATGCATTAGCTACTTCATTGGAGCGATAATCGATAGATGTACATATTATATACTAGATACTCGATAACAAAATACGGGTTTAATGAAGAAAATTGTAATTGAAAAATGTATTAGCCAGTTCATTGACAGTATGGTCTCACAATGAGAATTTTATTTTTATATTATTTCGCTTGTTTTTTGAACTGAAAATATATTAGAAAATTAGCAAAAATAATATGTTTTGCGGTAGCAAGGTTCTTGCGCTGTAAAATTAATTAAAATTATTTTTTTTGTAATAATTAAAAAAATTTTAAGCATTATAGGTTAAAAACATAAATTTAAAGGATTCTGCATTTATTTATGCAATAATACTTCGACGAGGAATTCAGAAATTCATAATAATACGCCGCGAAAGGCGGCCGTTTTTTTGTTTACCTTTTACGGTCGGTGTGACCGTAGTCGTATTACCAAAATAATCCAAGCAAAATTCAAGCAAAATTACACAAAATTACACATATAGTTGACTCTTTCAAGGTTCTAATGAAGTAGCTAATTAATGAAAACTGCATTACTGTATCATATGGGCATTAGCATCGCTGTAAGGAGTAAACAAAAAGCACTTTTGCCAAATCTTCGACTCTGGGAACTCCAAGTTATAGCTTTGTCTAAATTTGATCCATATGGATCTCGCCTCTACTTTGCTTCACTTTTGGTGATTCCTCCTCACTGATTTTTTTTGTTACTGCTACTAAACTAACATATTTAACTCTACAAACACTAAACAAATATATATAGTTTAAAAATTCCAAAATATAAATAAATTTTCGGCTGCCGCCGCTGCTGCCACTAAGGAGGCTCTTTTAAGAAGGGATGAGCCGGAATGGAACTGGGCATTTGCAGGAATAGAAAAATTTATATCTGGCGTTGAGGGTGCATGTTATCTGGTGGTAGTTCGAATTAAATAAAAAGAGCTAATTCCATCCTATTCGAGCGTTCCACTAACGACGAGAAAAAAAACGATCAAAAGAAGGCACCGCTAACTCCGAGACGCTGGAGTGTCTTGGTGGCCAATACGGGCGGGGAGGTGAACCTTATCCGCCTCTCCCTTATGGTGATGCTGGCCTCCCGCGCTTGGAAGAACCGCTTGATTTCCGTCTGCTTTTGCACTTCCTCCGCTCCTCCGCTTCCCGCTTGCGCTTCGACGTACCGCTTGGTTGCAGTCTTTCGAATTGGCGCCGAAGAAAACCGCAGGTTGCCGATTCCAGCGTGTAAAAAAAAATCACAAATCACAATTGGGTCGCTGATGAAAACTCCCTTCGAATCTCCTTCGGAGCTGAATCCAACCGCCTTTGGTCGCAGCAAAAGAGGTAATAGCTGCTCCCTACTCATTTCCTCAAGCGCTAGCCGATCGCCCTTTCCGACGTCGAGAGCTCCTCAGCCGAACGTCGGAAACTTGTCCCTAAAACTTTCTCTTAGGTTGCCTTGCTTTCCATTGCCCGCCCGCTAGAGGTCGCTTGCCTGCCCACCAATCCACTCATAGGTAGCGCCACTGGGCTCTACGACCAAGCGTTACAGCCCCAAAAAATCTATAGTGATTATTAAAAAGAATATATGTTTTTCCTTACAGCGTGGCCGTGACGAATAGCACGGGCCACGGGTTTTTTTTTTGTGTTCCTTGGTGTTGGTGCATTCGCGTCTCCGAGCGTTAGGTGGATTTTGTCTGGGCGAGACCTCACTTCCCGAGACCACCGCGCGACACCAGGTCCCAGCGCACCTGCGCAGCAGCGGCCGTCGGCACAAGCCACCATCAGGCGATACCGGGAGCCCGGCAAACCCAACGGAAACTGGAGGACAGCGGTGAGTCCGTTCCGATCAAAATCGGCCGGCCCTAACCTAAGTGGTCGGAGGCATATATTTTCGCCGCCAATCCTGGCCGTAGTCTCTTCTCCTGGGTTGTGCATGCCTCTTATCAATAGCCATTGATTCTCCGCAGCCGGAAATATGAGATATTGTGCATAAAACTTTGTTAATAGTTGTTAGTGTTTGATGTATTTTTTTTTTGTAAACTCACGTATCGCCGTAATTTGTCCTCTGCGTTGTCGTAGTCCCTGGGTCCGGGATTTGTGCAACACAAGGGTCTGGGAACAATTGCTTGGCAGCCTTGGCGCGAGCGCATCCCTGGCTGAGGCCACGCTCTCGCCGGGAGCAAGTGAGGTGTTACCTGTGTTACAAACACGTACTCTGCCATGTTTATATAAGCATACCTGGAATCGAAATATTATAATGTATTAAAGCGAAATGAATCGTAAATAAGTGGTATTACCTGGGGGAGATGAGTCGGTCGCCAGACCGCCTGGAATAGACTCCGGTCCGCCGGAGAATGGGTGATGCCCCGAGATGACCAGGAGGCATCACTGGTTGGGAGGGTGCGTCGTGGCGTTCACATCTAAGCCACCAATTCGTCCAATTTGTCGTCCAAATCTTTGTTTACATTTTTAACGTAGAGATGTGAGTTTTGTCAGCGATAGTGTTAGTCAAGACGTCCGATATTTTGTCGGTATTCGATTGTGCGGACTGCGGGCATCGGGTCGAACCCGCCCTGGGCCACTCTGAGCTAGCCCGGCATTGCCCTGGCAAAAAGCAGTTCCGTTACAATATGGCGCCCAATTAAAAACAAATATGGATAGCGAGAAGACGACGTCTCGTCAGGCCACGTCCTGGACCATCCAGCCCCCACGAACGGTGGCTTGCGAGGCCTATTTTACGGTCTGCAAATGCACCGATGACCTGGGGACTGGTGGTCAAGGCGTAGGTCCTGGTTTAGGAAAGGTTTTTGGTTTTTTTTCTTGGTCAGGACGGGAGGCTTGTGCCGCAGAAAAGCGTACAATTGCTCCCAGTCACAGCTCGCAGCTGTTTTGCTGTGCGGAGGTGGTGGCATCCGGGCGTGAGACGACGGATTTGCATCCCTTGGGCACAGACCCGTGCAAGAAGCACGCGATACACTGTGATACAATAAAAGCTGTGATATAGTAGATAGGGTACATGTTATTTATTTATAAATGTATTGATGTATTAACGTAGAGTCCATTGTTTTCATGTTAACGTAATTCTTGGTGCAGATCCTTGGGTTTTCCTGGTGAGGGCGGCTTGTGGGATTGCCTTGGAGGTGGTATCGTGACCCGTAGTATTTACTGCGCGCTGCACGACCACCAAAAGGTGAACCGCAAGTCGCGTTCGCTAAGAGAAATCCTACGGGATGCTGCGAATGCCGATGTCCTTAACTGGCGACTTTCAGCTCAGCTGAAAGTTAGTTCAGTTCACGAGCGGCCGGAGTAGGGACGACTTGGGCAATTGTAAGACGCAGGAAATCTGGCACGGAGTCCACCGGCGGTTGATCGGCTCCATCTCCCCCTGAAATTTAGAAAGAAAGGAAAAATCAGTGAACTGAGTACATATTTATATATATGGAAATTTAAATATTAATTGTGGTAATAGATTATTTATTGAATTATTTATTTATTTTCTGTTATTTATTCATTTATTTATTTTTGGTTATTTATTTATTTATTTATCTTGCTTTATTTATTTATTTATATCATTATTATCGTTATTATTTATTTATTTATTACTTATTTATTGCACATTTATTTCTTTAATTTTACCATATATATTTATTTATTCGGTGTTCGGTGTTTATGGATCGTTTTTTTTAGTGGTTTTTTTAGATATTTGTGTAAGTGTCGTTATAAATTTGTTAGGTGTTTAGGAATAATAAATGGCAGAGGAAACAGTAAACACGTATCAGCTTAGGTCGAAGGGTCCTTCAGCCCAGGAAGAGGAAGTGTGGTCCACGGATGCGGAGGGTGCTGTGGGGTACGCGCCGCCGCGGATTTCAATGGGGTTGTCGAGGACGCCACCGCGACGACGGGCATAGCCAGAGGAGCCGAACCAGGGGAAGTCGCTGGAGTTCGAGGCGATCGGGGCAGCAGCTGACCAGCTGTTGCAGATGGATTCCGCTCCGAAGGCGGTGCATTTTCAGGATCCACCAGTGGACTCGACGATCCAGTCGGCAGTGAACCTCGTCCTGGCACAGGCAGCGGAGACGTACCGCAAGTCCCAAGAGGCGGGAATCTGTCAAGGGTTGCGAGAAGAGCTGCGGGCGGGCTTCCTGGAAATGATGCAGTTAATGAATCAGGTGCTGAGGCCGGCAGTTACTCACAAACAGAAGCCGCTGCGGACGCCAGCCCAGCAGTAACAGCAGCCGTTCCCAGAAGCACGACGACAGCAACCATTCCCAGAAGCACGGCCACAGCAGCCGTTTCCGAGGGGACGACCGACGGAGGGACCCCAGGGCGCTCGTGGAGCCATACCGCGGAGCCACCAAACGGCCAGTGGGCAAGCGGCAAGGACACCGCCACGTGTGCCACCGAAGCCGCCAAGGAGGGCGCCTGATCCATTGGAGGTGACCAGCAGCAGACCAGGATGGTCCACTGAGGCGGAAGAGAGGCCGCGGGATGACGGCGGAGGCAGGAGCTGGCGCGTGGAGGATCGCCGAGCCGGAGAGTTCCGGGACGAGCGGGCGTACGCCAACTGGGACGCGGGAGGCAGTTCCCAGCAACCAGGAGAGACCGTGGACGACTACCTGCACGCCATGCAGACCCTTGCGGCACGCCTGAAAAAGCCAATGCCAAAGCGGCATTTGGTAAAGGTGATGAAGAAGGGGTTGCGAGAGGGAATAGCGCGTTTTGTCTACGCGATGGAGCTGGAAAGCCGCGATGTAGGAGAGCCTGGAGAAGGACAAATAAATAGTAACCACAATAATAATAATATATTAAGATACTTACCCTATGAGGAGCGCATGCGAAGGTATTTAGAAGCTAGGAATAGGATTATTAAACAGCACCAGCTGTGCGGAATGCGCCAGGTATCCCGAACGGTTCGGAAGGCCAGGGTGCGGTTTCGACAGCGTCGGGAAAAAAGAAGGGAAGTCGTCGCAGCAGTGCAGCGGAGCGGCAACCACGATCCCAGGCCCATCGCCGCGACAAACATTTTAGGCCAGCAACTGACGGGTCTGTTAGACACCGGAGCGAGTGTCAGTCTGCTCGGAAAAGGCGGTAGGGAACTGGTGGAGGCGTTGGGTGTGCCTGTCCAGAGATATTTCTCGGTGGTGCGTACCGCCGCAGGTGAGGATCGTTCGATCATAGGGCGATTGAAGCTACCTGTGGAGTACAAAGGGAGGGTACAGAATATTCTTTTCTATCTTTGCCCGTTCCTGGAGCAGCCGGCGTATCTCGGAGTCAATTTCTGGCGAGCGTTTGGCTTGGCCCCGGCCGTAGTGGGAGAAGTACCGACAAACAGCGTGATGAAGGCCGAAGAAATCCACGCCAGGGAAATGGAACACTACGCCGACCAAGAAGACGATGACGAGGAGAAGCCCGATCCAGAATCCTGGATACTAGCCGAGGCGGAGTCCCGGAAGCTGGAGGAGATCAAGCGGATGTTCCTTACATTTGAGAAGGATGGCTTAGGAACCACGAGCCGGGAGAAGTATTCCATAGAGCTGGTGGAAGGCGCGAAGGTTTTTATGGATCGGCCCTATCCGATGTCTCCGGCGAAGCAGAAGGTGGTCGAGGACGAGGTCGACAAGATGCTGGCGCTGGGACTCATCGAGGAGAGCAAGAGCCCGTGGAGTAACCGGACGACGGTGGTGTCGAAGCCTGGAAAGGACAGGTTCTGTTTGGATGCCAGGAAGCTGAACGAGGTGACCGTCAAGGATGCTTACCCCTTGCCTAGTATCGATGGAATCCTGTCCAGAATCGATCAGACGCACTACATCTCCAGCGTGGGTTTAAAATTCGCGTTTTGGCAGATCGAACTGGACGAGAAGAGCAAGGAGTTGACAGCGTTCACGGTTCCTGGTCGGCCCCTGTATCAGTTTCGGGTGATGCCGTTCGGACTCTGCAATGCGGCGCAGCGGCTGGTGAGACTCATGGACCGAGTAATCCCAGCAGAAATCCGGTCCAACGTCTTCGTCTATTTAGACGATCTGCTCATCCTGGCACCGGACATCGAGACGCACTTCCGGTACCTACGACGAGTCGCCGAATGCCTAAGAGAAGCAGGATTAACGATTGGGCTTAGCAAATCGAAATTTTGTTTTAAGTCGTTGACTTACCTAGGCTTCATCGTAGGTGGAGGTCGTCTGCGGATGGATCCAGGAAGGGTGGCTGCGATCCGTAGGATGCCAGAGCCGAGGACTATGAAGGAGGTGCGAGCCTTTTTGGGCACGGCTGGATGGTATCGGCGCTTCGTCAGGAACTTCGCAACGCTGGCAGCACCGCTCACCGAGGCGCTCAAGAAGACCGGGAACACGAAGTTTTCTCTGAGTCCGGAGGCGCAGCTGGCGGTCGATGCCCTAAAGATGGCTCTAACGACGGCGCCGGTACTAGTCCACGCCGATTTCAAGCGGCACTTCTTCATCCAGTGTGACGCTTCTCACATCGGGGTTGGAGCGGTTCTGTTCCAGAAGGATGAGGACAACCAGGAGCAGCCGATAGCCTTCTTCTCGACGAAGATGAATAGGCACCAGGTGAATTACACCGTCACCGAGAATGAGTGCCTGGCAGCGCTCCTGGCGATCCGGAAGTTCCGTCCGTATGTGGAAGGGATGCCATTCACTTGCATCACGGATCACGCCAGCCTGAAGTGGTTGATGTCCATTAAGGACCTATCGGGACGCCTGGCCAGGTGGTCTCTGCAACTCTGACAGAGTTGCTGGGTTTCGAGACCACCGAGTTTGCTGGGGATGAGTACCAGGAGTTAGTCCGTGAAGTGGAGGAGAATGCGGATAACTTACCGGATCTTAGGATCGAGGACGGTCTCATCTTCAAGCGAGTCTCCCCGGCAACGCTGGATGATGAAGTGGAAGGATCCGCATGGAAACTTTGGGTACCACAGAGTCTGACCCACAGCATAGTTGAGAGAGCCCATACGGATCCAAAGGCAGCTCACGGCGGAATGGGGAAGACTCTGGAAATCCTGCGGAGGCAGTTCTACTGGCCTGGGATGGTGACGCAGATCCGCGAGTTCGTCCGAAGATGTCAGATTTGCAAGGAGTCGAAGGCCCCGAACCACCGGATGATGGTGGGGATCGGAGAGCGGGTTCAGACGGAGCGGCCTTTCCAGAAGCTGTACGTCGACTTCCTTGGCAAATATCCGAGGTCGAAGAAGGGACACGCCTGGATCTTCATAGTGGTGGACCATTTCTCCAAATACACGTTCCTCAAGGCGATGAGAGATGCAACCGCTTCAAACGTAGTAGATTTCCTCATTACGGAGGTATTCTACAAGTTTGGAGTGCCGGAGGTGGGGCACTCTGACAACGGGCGGCAGTTCACCTCGAAGATCTTTGAGGAGGCGATGGAGAGCTTCGGGATCCGTCATCTGAAGACCCCGATTTACTCCCCCCAGAGCAACGCAGCGAAACGGGTCAACCGGAGTGTCCTGGAAGCGATTCGAGGGTTCCTGGAGAGTGACCATCGGGAGTGGGATGCGTACCTTCCGGAGATTGAGGTGGCCATCAGGAATGCAGTCCATTCAGCAACAGGCGAGGCGCCGTTCTTTACTGTGTTCGGGCATCACATGTTCCTGCATGGGTCCAGCTACAGACTGGCAAGGAAGCTGCAGTCGATGTGTGACCATGAAATGGCCGGAATGCCGACGGCTGACAAACTCCGGGTGGTACAGGAGAAGGTGCGCAAGAGTCTGGAGACCGCATATGACCACAGTCGCCAGCGATACGACCAGAGGGCCAGAGTCTTCACCGCAAAGCCGGGGCAAGAAGTGTATCGCCGGAACTTTGTCCTCAGCGACTTTGGGAAGCAATTTAATGCGAAGTTCGCAAAAAAGTTCCTAAAGGCCAGAGTGGTGAAGGCCGTAGGCAATAATGCGTACGAGCTGGAGGATCTGCAGGGCCGAAGTTTGGGCATCTATCACGCAAAGGACATCCGCATCTGACCTGGAGGGGAACAAAGAGGAACACAAAGTATACAAGGACGGAAAGGAACCTAAAGACATCTGATACTTCCCCTAAGGCGTGGGCCCCGCGTTGGGCACCTGACGGAACTGCACGGAAACAATATCCAAATGCTCCCAATGATCCTGTCGAGCCGCCGTGATCCAGTAGCATCTCTCCAAATCCTTGGGTGGTGTTGCATTTTCAATCGGAATGGGCTGGAGGGCTATCGATATATCGATAGAGGTAGGGTCGGTAGGCACAGGGGGAGGCAGGGACTGGTGAGCGAACCGGGAAGATCAAAATTAAGAGAAAGGGTTTTTACCCTTTGCACTAGGCCGTTGCACTGAGCGCCCCAAGATTACGGTAAGCCGAAAATTGGAACTCGGGCAACGGAGCATATATAGGGAGGCAGGAGACAGGAAGAGGAATAGATTAGCGGGACGTCAGCCGGCGCGTTAACGTTGGGGCTCTAGTGATTTAAAAAAGGAAAAAAAAAAGAAAACGTGAGTGAAGTGGCGCGAAGAAAAAAAAATCTATAGTGATTATTAAAAAGAATATATGTTTTTCCTTACAGCGTGGCCGTGACGAATAGCACGGGCCACGGGTTTTTTTTCTGTGTTCCTTGGTGTTGGTGCATTCGGGTCTCCGAGCGTTAGGTGGATTTTGTCTGGGCGAGACCTCACTTCCCGAGACCACCGCGCGACACCAGGTCCCAGCGCACCTGCGCAGCAGCGGCCGCCGGCACAAGCCACCATCAGGCGATACCGGGAGCCCGGCAAACCCAACGGAAACTGGAGGACAGCGGTGAGTCCGTTCCGATCAAAATCGGCCGGCCCTAACCTAAGTGGTCGGAGGCATATATTTTCGCCGCCAATCCTGGCCGTAGTCTCTTCTCCTGGGTTGTGCATGCCTCTTATCAATAGCCATTGATTCTCCGCAGCCGGAAATATGAGATATTGTGCATAAAACTTTGTTAATAGTTGTTAGTGTTTGATGTATTTTTTTTGTAAACTCACGTATCGCCGTAATTTGTCCTCTGCGTTGTCGTAGTCCCTGGGTCCGGGATTTGTGCAACACAAGGGTCTGGAAACAATTGCTTGGCAGCCTTGGCGCGAGCGCATCCCTGGCTGAGGCCACGCTCTCGCCGGGAGCAAGTGAGGTGTTACCTGTGTTACAAACACGTACTCTGCCATGTTTATATAAGCATACCTGGAATCGAAATATTATAATGTATTAAAGCGAAATGAATCGTAAATAAGTGGTATTACCTGGGGGAGATGAGTCGGTCGCCAGACCGCCTGGAATAGACTCCGGTCCGCCGGAGAATGGGTGATGCCCCGAGATGACAAGGAGGCATCACTGGAGGGGAGGGTGCGTCGTGGCGTTCACATCTAAGCCACCAATTCGTCCAATTTGTCGTCCAAATCTTTGTTTACATTTTTAACGTAGTGATGTGAGTTTTGTCAGCGATAGTGTTAGTCGAGACGTCCGATATTTTGTCGGTATTCGATTGTGCGGACTGCGGGCATCGGGTCGAACCCGCCCTGGGCCACTCTGAGTTAGCCCGGCATTGCCCTGGCAAAAAGCAGTTCCGTTACAAAATGTTGTTTTTGTTTGGATTAATTATTTAACTTACTCGTATGTTTTCAATGCGCTTGTTCTCCGCGTCTCCTAACTTGCGTCAGGGATTTGTGCAACACGAGTTCTGCAAAATTAAAGAAACGGCTTAGAAGAAATTGGATTTAACTGAAAGCATACTTACCCGTCCCCATTATTTCTTTTGGAGCTCCAGCAGGGATAATAGGCAGGAATAAAAAGGGAATCCTAAGAGCCAGCTTCTGGCTATTTTCTCTAGCGGACCGCCGCTTCTTCTCCGCTGCCGCAGTTTTGGCGCGAGCGCATCCCGGGCTAGGGTAACGTGTCGCCGGGAATGAGTCCCATTGGAACTCAATCATGCCTGCCAATGTTAGCAATAAGTACCCGAAATTTATAATGAATTAAAGCAACCAAGATGAACGTTGAGTAAAAGTATTTACCTGGGGAGATGGGCCGGCCGTCAAGCCGCCTGGATTAGACTCCGGTCCGCCGTAGATGGGTGGTGTCCCTAGACACACCGGAGTCACCACAGTTTGGGCGGGAGAGTCGTGGCGACTCCATCAATGCCACCATTTCCATTCCACGAAAAGTCGTCATTTTTATATTGTTTACATTTTTGTGCTAGAGATGTGTTTCTTGTTAGTGAGGAGATTTATTTGAGACGTCCGATTAATCGGTGTTGGAGGGGGGCGGCTCTAACTCTGAAATGCACTCGAAATAAGAACACGTAGAACTTTCGGGTTTTTACGCGACGTGCGTCGGATGTCTTTATTGAATCTGAAGTGAATTGGTACTAAATATACAAAGGAAACTTATGCTAGGGAGAGCGGATTGGAAGCTCTAGGACTGGAAGTCCGAAGGAAGAGGGAGAGAAAAGGAGAGCGTTCGGGATCACACTGCCTCCCGAAATTGAGCGCCTTTCTGGCGTGAACAGCAAGCTTCCATGAAATCTTTGCCCAGCACAATATGACAGCCCATAGATTCATCAGCAACTACAATTAATTTAAACCAAATCTTTATTTCTTTTTTAATATAGGAGTTGAAGAAGAATCGATCGGTTGTGCTTTGTTTCGCTCCGCAGTTGTTTTTACCTATTACAACAAACCAATTAATATAAATTACTTGGTTTCATTTATAAACACTTTAACCTTCTAGTGCCCAATTTTTTTTTTTTTTTTTTTAATTATTTTTGGATTCAGTATGTATCAAAAGTGAATGTTTGTTTTGGAAAAAATTTTACTTTTGCTCGGATCGAGTTTTATACGACTAAAACCTTGGACCGCATGAAGGCAGTTCTGGGAAGATAGACCAACAAAAAATTAGGTAAAAAATTTTTTTTGTTTAAATGTTTATTATAAATGTCATTAAGACTGTCAGCAACACAGTACAATTTTTTGTTCTAATTTTTTTCGAACTTAAAAAAAAAATATTTACATGTTGTATTTCCTACAAAATAATTATTTTGTCCGATTTGCACAAATTTTCAACTTCAAATGAATACAGCAGCTTGCGCTAGCTCTAGTATGTATTCCAAACGCAACGAACTTAATTTTTGGACTTTCCTGAATTAGAAAAAACATTGCCCGTCTAGAGGCGGTCTTGGGCACTAGAGGGTTAAGTACCTGCGTGTTCAGTATCCTATGGTAATTGCAGTTAAATCAATCTGTAAAAGTGAATCAAGATATTAATTACAAATTGTGAAAAGTTAGCTTTGTTACACATATATTCGTACATATGCACTGATTAATTCGCCACAAAACAAATACACCGAAACCGATACACCAACACACCAAAATCACTACACTCAACAACAAAACAAAAGAAACTGAGAAGATGTCTACGTCCACTGCATCCAAACGCCTTCGCAGCAACGCTGGAACCGCAAATGACCGCCTTTCCGATGCCCCCTCGTCTCAGATTGTGGATCTGCTTAAGGTGCGCTTCCAGGAGCAGACGGATGAGATAACTGCCTTTGTAAGTGAAACGGAGAAACGCATACTAAGTATTCTCTCGGACAGACTGGATTCCATTGCGGGTGAGGTGAAGCAAACTGGAGAGCGTGTATCTCGCCTTGAGCGAGAAGTAGTGGATCTACGCTCGCAGCGGAAACAGCTGAGTATTCTTGTTGACCGTCTCAGCCAGGAAGTCGCTGACATGCGGGTGGTAAAAGAAAGAGTGGGAGGTGTTGAGGTTAAACTGGCTGCTCACCATGCGGCTAGCAATGCGCTTGACCTTCGCATACATGGAATCCCATACGTTGAGGGTGAAAACCTGAACACTATTTCACACTCTGTGTTTTTCACTACACTTAACCCCACCACCGCGGGTTCGGGACATGTTCCGGGCCCGTAAAATACAAAGAACAAATGTCGACCCGGTCATTATTGTTAAGTTGGATAACTTGCGAGAAAAGATTGGGCTACTGAAAATAATTGCAGCGTACCGACGGGAAAATAAAATGCAACTGAGCTTAAAACACGTGGGTATCGACTCTAATGCTCTGATCTATGTAAATGAGCAGCTTTTAAGAGAAAATTACATCATCTTAAAAGACGTGGCCTTGTTCATGTTCGCTGTTATGGGAGCGAGAATGCGCAATGCATAGAGCGCATAGAAGAGCTTAACTTGATGTGCGATAAAGAACCTCCTCTCTCTTCCTCCCGCTCTTCACAACTCCCCACTCTAGCCTTGGAAGATGGACCTGCACAATCGGAGAGCTTTCGCTCTTAATTATGTTCGCACTCTTAATGTTTATTTAATTGTTAGGTTTTTCTTTAAATTGTATCAGTAAATAAGTTATTGTTTAATGTTTAATGTCTTTTGTAACACTGAGTTTGTGCCTCATAAATGGCATGTCCCAAACTATGTGGGGTAATGTAGGTGGTTTCATGATCGGTAGCATTTTAAGAGTCTTAAGTAATCATAAACAGGGCTTAAAAGTGGTTCAAATGAATGCACAGAGTCTCTTAAGAAAAATTGATGAGTTTAGGTATTTGTTCGTGAAGTCTAACGTAGATGTGATATGTGTATCTGAAACGTGGTTTATGCAGTCTGATTTATTGATTAATTGTGATGGTTATAATGTCTTTCGTTCTGACCGTATTGGGAACGCTGGTGAAGTGGCCATAAATGTCAGCAGCAGTCTTAACTGTGAGGTCAAGTGTAAACAGCCAAACGATAGACCCATCGAATATATATTTTTGGAGGTAAATAGTATGTCAAAGAAAATAAAATCCCTTATCGGTGGCATTTACCGACCTAACCGAACGATTGAATACGCACCTTTGATAGCCACTATCCGTGAGATATCTACTGCCTACACTGACATTATTCTTGCAGGTGACTTTAACAGTAACGTCCTTAATAATAACCACCTAATAGATAGCTTTGAGGCTTTGGGCCT